CTCAGCCTTTATTCCTAACCCCAGGTCTCCTGGAGAATTTTGCCCCATCTTTTATCATGTTACTCTGAGGCTGTTTTTTCTGAAGACTTTCAAATACTGGTGCCTTCCCTTCTTCCTGCCTCCCTGCCTCATTAACAAACCCACCAAAATGCCGTACCTCCATATCCCCTCCCTCCACCCCAGAAATCCCGGAGCCAACCACATAACACGTGTACACACACTTGAGTTGGCCTACGCATTACTGTTTCAGAGCTTCTTGGTTTGGGAAGAGTCCTTATGGTGGATTTCCAAGGACTGATTACTGTTTGTGGCTTTTGGGACTTTTTGGGTCAGCAGACTTGCTTCAAAGTATGAGCTTTTCTAACTGTAGTCAATAATGGATTGAAACACTAATTGTAACTGCAGTAGGATCTTGTACCTACTAAGAGCAAGCCAGTAGTGCCATAGGGCTTTTTCTTAATGCTCAGGCAGATACCATGAAGCCAAAGTTAGACATGACTAATGGTAAATGGTAAGCTAAGTAAAGTAAATGCCATTTAGCTGATCTCTCCCAAAACTTGTATTACTACTATGGTCTCTCAAAGTAGTGTTTATTTCATAAAAGAACTTATTTTCTGCACCTTTGTTTCTCTTCCAGACTCTTACTAGTTGTACTCAGACAAATGGACAATTTGTCTCATTTCCCCATGTCACAAGGGAGTTTCCTCTCTAGGAAAACCATATTCTCTCTCTGTTTTGCTATTAAGTTCACAATGTATATTAGGATTGAGGAGAGAAAAATAAGAAGGAAAATAGGTACATCTCCAAAGGGAAAGCATGCCTCTCTTTCTTAGGACAGAACAGGACACCTGTAGGAAATGTGAAATGTGATTACTGGGGCCTTTTGATATCAAGAAACATAAAATCCCATTAAAGAAAATGCATTTTTTGAAAAGTAACAGAACAAATTAATTGATAAAAGTAAAGCTCTTCACAGGGGGGAAACATCTGAGAAACTTTCTTGCCTTTGATTTCCATTCTTGAAGGAAGACTGAAACTGCAGGAGGATTTCCTATACCTTAATAGGCAAAACATTTTGCAGTACAGAACTTTTGTGTAACAAAGCCGAGAAGGTACTGAATGAAAAAATGATCAAGGAGTTAGAAGTATTAAATTACTTAAATTAAACATCTGAAATACGGCCTCGGTTAGTGGAGTGAGTAGGTTTTGGTAGATTTAAAAGAATTTAGTGCCTTTAAGGTGGGGATGTGAGATGTCAGCTATCAGGAAATTTTCTTGTGAAGCAACATGGTTACACCTCCAGAAGTCCAATCAGGAAATAAAAGTCACTATACTTTAAAATTAGGTAGGCAGGCATGTGTATATGTGTATTAATACTTTTTTGGTAGAAGGGCAAATATTTGAAAGCTATGCTGGAAACGTTAAGAGTAGCAAATAATTCTTCAGTTGCAGAGACCCTTCCATTCATGCCTGTGGCTTCTTGCAAGAAGCCACAAAGTGGCTGTGAGTTTCTCTTCATTCCTGTGTGTATTTTTAGAAATGAGGTACTAGACCATAGATTAAGAAGAAACTTGTGTTCAGGATGTGTGTGGTGTGGAGAACATATTTTCATTATAGAGTAAGCATTAGCTAGTGGGGGGTGGGGAAAGTTGGTGATTATTTAATCCCATTACAAGAAAGTTTCCATGAAATCTGTTTGTGCGCTTTAAAAAAAAAAATGAACAAAACAAACATGAGAAACAGCAGGATAGATGAGTGAGGAGAAATAGATCATAGCGGAATATTACTGAATGATCAGACAGACACCCAGAAACAGGATAGCAGGGAAGCTAGCGTGGTCAAATAGCTGTCACTGACGGGAGCGCCTTGCTAGCACAGCGCTGCACGCTCCTGCTGTGTTCAGCGGCTCACAAATGTACTTCTCAGCAACGACTGAAAATGCTGGTAAGGGGCCTGACAGTCGTATTAGCCAGGTGACTTTTCCTAAAGTTCCTGTTGCTTCCTTAGATTAGAAGTTTTACTTGTGAAGTGTATTCCTTTCTACCAAAGAGGCTTGGGTGGGTAGGGATTTGCTTCTGTTTCCCTTTAAGCCTGTGCTGTAAATGACTTGAAAGAGGAGCAAAAGAACCTGAGGCATGTGGTGCAAATTGGGAGGGGTTCTGTAAACAGTCTGAAGTCATTACCCTCTGTTAGTCAACAGGGTCAAAATAGAAGTGTGTGTTAATGCAGTGTTAACGCCAGAACATCTCTATATTGTGCATATGTAAGTCCTGTATAAGGACTCAGACTATATAAAGGACTCTTGGTCATACTTCTGGTACCAACCTTGCTTTATATTTAATGGAGTTATAAGGTAAAAGCTCCATGCTCTCGTTAGCGGCTTTATTTTTCTGTGCAGTCCTGCTGGCCTGTTTCAGCCCAGACATACCACTGTTGTCTTTCTAAGAGTGAGTCGTGGTAGCAGGAAGAATCTCTGTGGGGCAGCCTGACTGCCTGAGCCTATTAAAAGCAGTGTCAGTTTGAAGTTGCCTGCTTAAAAATAACATGGTATTTGCTATTGCAGCAGTTGGTTAATAAGCAGTTACTCTTAAATGAGCAACAACAACCAAACAAACCAGAAATAAACAACAGTAACCAGAAGAACAGCTGTTACTTCTGAAATTAACTATAGCAGTGATCAATCACACTGACACTTACCTGTGGTATGATTTCTCACCCTTCTCACACCTAGTTTTAGAATAATGCAAGTCCATCTGCTGGCAGATGGTGCAAGAAGGGAGTTGGCCATTTCCTGTACAGCTACCGGAGCTGGTGCGCAGCAGCACCTAGAATTGATGAAGCCTGTAGCCAACTGCATGTGTTCTGCAGGTGATAAATAAAGCAGCTCCAGGTCTTCTCTACAACTGGAGATTACTCTCTTAGTACTGAAATTAAGTCTCCACATAGATGTTAAATCCAAGTTTCTTGTTTGATGCTTTGTCAAGCAGAAAGAAAATCTGAATATATGCTGCGTAAGGGAGATTCAGACTGTTTTATTGGTCTTTCGGTGTCATGGGCTGGCATCTTTCCAACTTTGCGTTTTGTGTGGCTTGCCTCATTTTCTTCCTCTGTTCAGAAGTAGACCTGGTTTCCCATCTATCTGCAGTTGCATAGCCCTTTTTCTTTCTGATACGACTATACATCTTTGCTAAGTACCAGAAATGCTTACATGGAAAAAACTTTTATTACAGCAAAGTATTTTAGCTGCCTTAAAGAGAATTTAGTGGGAATAGGGAAGCCAGTATCAAATCATCAGCCAGCTCTTTTTAGGATACCAGCATGTGGTCCTTGGACCCACCTCCGCTCCATTTGGCACTCGAGTAGTGTTCTGGTCTACTGTTGGTAAACCCAGAACTAGTATTAATATGAGACCATTAAAACACCTTTTGTTAAAGGAACTGTGTGACAGCTAACTTCTGAAGTGGCTAAACGACATTTTCCCTAGTGGTGAGATTACAGTCCCCAGAAATGCAGTGCCCACCACTTGAGGGTGGTGGTGGAATTATTTTCCTGTTCAGGCTTAGCTGTAGCTTCTTCAGAGTCTGACCTTGTTGTTGAAGAAAACTGGTTATGGATAGGGTTGATCTTTTTGATGCTCCATTTATAGCTGAAAAATTCAGCATGCCAAAATTATGATGTAAGTTTTTCAGAGAAACCAACCAAACATTCCCCAAATGTTTAACTTTGGAAAGTAGCACCTTTGCATCTACAGCACATGCTCTATGCCTGTATTTACATTGTAAATGTAATGCTTCTAAAAGGCAGCCACGCTTTTGAAGTTGGTAATGGAGGGATTTACCAGAAGTTTAGCATGCTGTCTTAGTGCCTGAAGCCCCTCTTTTAGTTAGCTTCTAGGAGTTTGCAAGACTGTCAGTTAAGGGTTGTACTCGACCTCAAGTTCCTAGATGGAACTGCAAAGACATACTTGAAATATTAAATAAACTTCCAACTGTATTGTATATGGTAACAATGGTGCCTTTTTTTTGATCACAAGATCAAATTCCAGAATAAATTCAACGATGTTTTACAGGGTGGATTTGGAGAAGCTCCTGTTGTAGCTGAAATAAGAGGTGTCTGTCGTAGACAGCCCAGAGAAGGAGACAAAAGCAGGGTCTTAAATTAGATGGGAAAGTAATAGTGTTAAATACTGTGAATTTGAGATAACACATGAAAAGCATAGATACAAGGCAAATAGAGCCGAGGGGAGAGAAAAAGCATGGGAACTGCACATAGCCACTTGCTTACCAGACTGGTAACGTGGTCAATGTGCAGCTAAAAAGGACTAGGAACAGATGGAGCTCAGTGAAATACAGCAGTGACAACTAAGGAATGGGATCCTAGATGTCTTCAAGCATTATATCAAGTTAGTTCTGATGCCTAACCACAGCTGGAATATTATTCTCAAAATTGCTAATACTAAAGGTGACTGGAATTGAGAGTAAAATTAAAAACTTGTCAGCTATATCTGTAGTATATGTAAACTTCACTAAACATGTTAATGGTCTTCCTGTTCAGAGCAAGATGGGGCTCCCTGTATTTGGAGGACTGTAAATTTGGATGGTTGTCAGCTATTGTATAAGACTTACCTGTAGTTAATGCGAGAGTAAAATACTGGTTTGACTTCCACTGGGTTCTGTCTAAGCTTTAAGTGGCTCTGGTTATTACCAGTACATTTATCCTGAAAACAGCAATTTGTCACATAGGTACAAATACAGCAAGTATCTGCGTGACGATGTTACGTAGTTTTATGTAAAAAAAAAATGGTCTTTATGACCAACACCAACTATCGAATGCTGCCTTAGCATACTTGTGAGAGTATGGCACTTGGATCATTTGTGGACATTTATCATGTCTCTGAACACAAATTTCAACTCAACTCTTTGAACAGACCCAACACAGTTTTACTTAGCTACTGCTTCTGTATTTACTGCATTTTATAACATTTTTTCTATTCCTTTTAGCTTTACCTTCAGGCCAGAATGAAAGGAGACTGGGCAAGACTTGTACGTCCTACTGTACAATTTGGTCTTATCGCTGCATCTATCTATGTGGGTCTCTCACGTGTTTCTGATTACAAGCATCATTGGAGTGATGTTTTAACAGGACTCATTCAGGGAGCGGTGGTAGCTGTGCTCATTGTAAGTAATTCCTGAGGCGGGTGAGTGGGTGGGGGTGTGAACACTGCTTTTATAAACGCACCTTAGAATTGCAAGCTGTGCTCAGAGGAGAGCAGGCCTGTCTTCCTGATGCTTTGAAAATTGCTGGAGAAGGGAAACAACTCCTTGAACTGTGTGGAGCAGTAACAGTACTTCAGGGAGTGAGGCAGGCTCTGGGCCAATGATGAGATAAGTGGTCTTTGGCTGTCAGACAACATGAAATTGTACCTGCCCAAGAGCTTTTCAAGTAACCAAGATGCAGTCAACTGCAAAACTGTGTGGGCCTCTATATAACCATACCTTTTGCTTCTAGTCAAATTCTAAATCTAAATCTCAGGTACAATAGCAGAGAACCGTGTACGAGGTAAGCAGGGCAAAAAAAAAAGCCTTTAAGGAGAAGGACAGCATGAAAGTGTCTGCCTCTGCCAGCTTATAGAGCCTGTTTTTTCAGTCTGATGGGGAAACTAAAACCCTTCACCATTTCTTGTGTGTGTTTTGAGTGCTAAAAGGGTGCTCACAACAACTAGCATGTGAAGCTTAGCTGTACTGATGACTTAAAAGCTATCCCAAGGAACAGAGAATCAGCTAAACTTGGAGCTGCAGGCCTGGTTTGGTTAACTTAGTGGCAGCAGTTGTGCTGACTGGCACTAGAGTGCCATGGTTGATTCATCCATGGGAAGGGACAGATTGGAGAGACTTCTGGTGCAGAGACATGAGATCATACTGAAGAATTCAGTTACCAAGAACTGAGGCTCACGAGGAAGAACCACCTCCAAGACAAACGCTTTCTCAGCTGAAAGTCAGAAGGGTATGGTTCATTTCAAGACAAAGCTTTACTTGTTGGAGTCAATCATCAGAACAAATCTTGGAGCAGCACTGAAAAGCCCTACATACTGCATTAGGTGTTATTAAATGGTGGCATATTGACCAAAATAGAATCCTACCCCTCGCTTTTGTACAATGTCATTTTCTAAGAAAAGGAGTGCAGGGAATGAGGAACATCAGGGATTGAAGAGCTGAGGGCACTTTTATTGGGAAAACAAGTTTAGTGAAGGGTGTTGGATGATTGAGAGGTTGTCTTAGAGATGCTTGGTAATACCAGAATGAGCAGAAGGTAGTACTACAGAGAAGAGAGTTGAAAGGTGAGGGAATTATTTTAAAAAATAAAACCCCCAAACAAAACCCTTATCGGAAAGAACTGAGGACTTCAACTTTAGAAATAGAAAGCTGAGGTAAGAGCATGCTGGGTCAGCAACCGCAAATGGCGCACTAAATTGAGTGAATTCAGCATTAAGCGCAAGCTGAACTTCATCTGGTATGCAGCTAAAGCAGCATCCTGGGTCATCAGCCAGCCCTCAGTGTGGAAGGGTGTTTCTTCTGCTGCCTGAAACTGTGGTCTGCAGTTCTCAGGTTTGCCGTGGGATACGAAGTGGTGATGTAGGAGGGGAAGGGATTGTGAGAGAAGGCTTCTTATTCATTGCACTTCATGCAGCACTGTACCCAGCATGTCTGCTAGTATGGCTTTGAAGTGGGCAGCGGGAAGAGAGCAAACTGCAGAATTTCCCCAAGGCACCTGTCTCGTAGTCGGTTGCTATGAAGGAAGTCAGGTGGTATGTTCAAAGGAATGCAGGAGAGGATAATGTAGGTAGAGTTGGCCTTGCAGCTGCTGGAGCTGAGGGTGAGACGCACATATTGGGGAGGGGGCTTCTGTGAACCTTGCCAAGGAGAGGAATCCAGGCTTGGTTTAACCAGCTTTTAAAAAAAAAATGCAAGTGAGAGTGACACTTCAGAGAATAATAGTTACTAACTACTGAACTCTCTTCCATGTGCTAAAGCACAAGCTCTCCTGTCCTGTTCTAAATAACAGAATAAATTTAACCATACATGTGATGTGGGTCCTGAGCAAGCTTATCTTGCTCCTTCATTTAGAGTTCTTCAAACTATGGCTATTGTAATGAAGCAGTGCCTGATAAGGCAGTTAGAGCAGCTAGTGAGCACATGAACCTTGAATTTGCCTTAAACCATCAGTGGCTAAGTGGTCAGTGGGAGGGGGCAATAGCTGGAGAAAAAGCTATTGAAAGACCAGATGCCAGAATTTTATATGAGACTTCCTAGCAAATTTCTAATGTTTTAATCTAATAAAAAATTTAAACAGTTTTGATAATGGAATTTACCTTCTGCAAAAAGCATTTACCTGTTGTTTGAAAGCCTTATAAGTGCAGGAGCTTAACACTAATCTGCTTGCTTAGGTTGTGTACGTGTCTGACTTCTTCAAAGTGAGAGGATGTACATTTCAACCGAAAGAAGATTCCCATACAACCCTACATGAGACTCCAACAAATGGAAATCACTTTGGCAGTAATCATCAACCATGAAGAATGACCCACCTCACCTGTCTTGCTCTCTGAAAGGAAAACAATTTCACAAATATAACTATGTAATATAAGTAAATGCCTTTAAGGGACTGCTGCTGCTCTTGGATGCTCACTTTACCTGTATATAGTAACATCTACCACAGTTATTGTATATCTAAACTTTTAATTTCTGTTGGTTCAAGCTCTTGCTTAAAAGAAAAAAGCTATTCACATTGTAAATTTTTATTGAAAACATGGTAACAGTTATTACATACACCGCTGTCTGTACATGCCTTGTTGAAACAACTGTGATTTAAATACACACCATTAAAAGAAATTACTTGAGATGGAAGTAGCATGTGAAGCTGATGAACTTGTTCATAATGTGGATCTAGTACTGTTTTTAGATGATACCTTCTGTTACAGGTAAAGGCTTGCAGCAAACACAATATCCCTCTTGATTTTTGTAATCCCTATTAAAAAGGAAAAGGGTATTAATATCCAGCAGTCATAACTGACACAATCACTATTTTAAGAACAGTTACAGACATGTAATACTGTGCAACAGAGAAAGTGTTACAAGTCTTAAATGGAAGTCATTGTACATCCATTTTTAGTCATAAACTTGGTCAAATGCTACCTCTTTAAGTCAAACTTTGTAACATTATTTGGAAAGAGAGCAATGATGCTGTTTACCGTGAAGTCAATACCAGAAGCTTGTATTACCAAATCCTTCACCCATGCCCTGCCCTACCTCCTCTCCACTCCCCCCCCCTTTCCTTTCATATGCTTTCTAGAATTACTTCTTAAACTGTGGAAGTGAAATACATACCCTCTGCAAACTTATTTTCCAACTCTGTGTTTCCAATGGCTTTTGCAGCCTGGCACATCTGCCGAAGCAATTCCTCTAGCCTTCTCATGCAACGAATTATGCTACCTGTATAAAAAGAGTGAGGGAAAACTTTGTATCCCCTGCCACATCATATCACTGAATAGTCACTTGAGCCCACTTTGGACCAAAGCAATAGTTCCTTCTCCAGCCCTGTTCAATTTATCTAGAAGCCAATGGTAAAAACAGCCATATGTCTTAAGCTTGGTTTCTATTTAACAGTAGATTTTTCCATCAGGTATGTCCTTGAAGCTGTCGTCTCCAAATGCTAGTCCTGTTCTTGTGTTCTATCTTTACAGACTCTAACCAATATTTAGTCAGAGGCCTCTCTGGGCCGTTTAGTAATTCCTAGTGGTTTTTTCTTTCAAGGACTTGTTAAGACTTCCCTCAAAAACTATATAGGTTTGGGGGATTTACAAGTTTGCTGCTTCAAGAACCAGCACACATAGGGCTATCTATCAAAAAAACCCAAACATAAGCCTTAGTTCTTTAGTTGGCAGAGCCAGTGAGACAGTAAGTGGTCTGCATTACTACTGTGCTATTCCACTCGATTGCATGTTTATGATAATGTACACAAGCTCAGTCTTGACATAGCTCCTTCACTGCACCCTCATGCCCACTGTAGTTTGTTATGCTTTCATCTCCTCTTTTAAATTCCTTCTCAGCCGGGCCCAAGTCACTTCCACAAAAATGACCCTAATGCTTATGCTCTTCTAGCAGCAGGCAAACAGTATGCTGTTTGGTCATTTTCTCCAGCATCTCACACCTACAGTCAAAATTACTTTATGCAAAATAACTGTCATAGGGTAAATATGGGATGAGGGGATTGAGAGCAGCCCTGAAGAGAAGGACTTGGGGCTGCTGGTGGATGAAAAGCTAGACATGACCCAGCAATGTGCACTCACAGCCCTGAAGGCTAACTGTATCCTGGGCTGCATCCAAAGCAGTGTGACCAGCAGGTTGAGGGAGGGGATTCTGCCCCTCTACTCTGCTCTGGTGAGACCCCCCCCTGCAGTACTGCCTTCAGCTCTGGGGTCCTCAGCACAGGAAGGACATGGGCCTGTTGGAGCGAGTCCAGAGGAGGCCACGAAGATGATCACAGGGCTGGAGCACCTCTCCTGTGGAGACAGTGAGAGGGTTGGGGTTGTTCAGCCTGAAGAAGGCTCTGGGGAGACCTTAGAGCAGCCTTCTAGTACCTAAAAGGGGGGTTATATGAAAGATGGGGACAGACTTTTTAGTGGGGCCTGTTGTGACAGGACAAGGGGTAATGGTTTTAAACTAAAACAGGGCAGATTCAGACTAGATACAGGGAAGAGATTTTTTTCCTGATTAGGGTGGTGAAACACTGGCACATGTTGCCCAGAGAGGTGGTAGATGCCCCATCTTGGATGTGTTCAAGGTCAGGTTGGATGAGGCTCTGAGCAACCTGACTGAGTCGAAGATGTCCCTGCTTATTGCAGGGCTGGACTAGATGCCCCTTCTCTAGTTCAATGAGATACTAGTTCTAGACAAGGCGTAGTATCTGGAGAAAAACTGTCCATATGAAAAGAACGTTCTACAAAGCTGTTGGGAAAGTGAGAAGTTAGGAAAAGTAAAGTAACACTTCTCTTCTAAAAAGTATTCATATGGTACCAGTAGGCCATGTCAGTTTCTGCAGGAAGAATAGTTTGTGTAAGGCCAGCAGTCTGCAAAACCTATTGGAATGACAGGAGATGAAAAAAACCCCACACAGAGTCTATTGGACACAAAGCCAAAGCAAGTGAACTGCCGGCAGCTCCCCTGAGCATGGCCACGGTGCTCAGCTTGCAAAGGTCCTGCTCGTCTCCAATTACACGGCCAACCCTGACAACCATTCCTGGGAGTACTCCTTTACAGGCAGCGTAGCTGGGGTTGTTGCAGACATACTTTTTTTGTGCATGAAAAAACCCTGTATTTTTTTGAATAAATGACTATTGTCTATACTTCCACAGTGTATCTGCAACTGATTAACAGGATACTTAGCCCAGTTTACCATTCACAGACTCACAGACTCACAGAATCATTTGGGCTGGAAGGGACCTTCAGAGGTCATCCAGTCCAACCCCCTTGCAGTGAGCAGGGACATCTCCAACTAGATAAGGTTGCTCAGAGCCCCATCCAGCCTGACCTTGAATGCCTCCAGGGATGGGGCTTCCATCACCTCTCTGGGCAACAGACTTCTCTTCCCTACAGCTTTAAAAAGCTCCTCTAATTTCTGTTTCTTCTCAACACACACATTTCACCTTAATGATGACTCATTTTCATGAGCCAATCACCACTGCTCCCATCTGTGGCAAGCACACTTGCTCTTGGAGCACTCGGACTTACGCTGCAACCTGAAAAGGTAGCCATTCACTTGCCACAACTACAAGCTTTCACACTACTCAGAACTGCACTCAAAAGGGGTTTCAGACATGTGACCATCAATACTAATACAATAGCAGAACAGTATCTATATTTAGGCTTGTGAGAGCGGAAGCATGCCATCGACTCAAGATTTTTGTCTAGAGAAGTTTTGCTAGTGCCTGTTAGCCTGGATGGCAACACAAAACTGAACTTTCGTCTCCCACTCATGAAGAGCAGAGTCTTTCAGAAAGCACTTTTAGTAAGTTTGGGGGAAGGGGGCGGTGTGTGATGAAAAACTTGCTTAAAAAAAGTGGTGGCTTCCAAAGGACTCTAATGGCTGGACAATTTTCTGCCTCCTTACTAAAACTGGTGCACGACAGTGAAGTTGGGACTCCCTGTAATAGCAGCAACTCATTATTGCTAATTCCACATTGCCCAAAAGGCAAAAAGGGAAATATACCTCCTTTTAGAGCTTTAATAAGCCATCATGCAGTACCTCATGGTAACAACCTCTATCAAAATTAAGACAGGAAGCATCAATACCTAAAATGAAAATTTGTACTTAAGATCAAGTTAAGGACACTGTGGTTTTTGGTTTGTGTTTTGTTGTTTTTTTTGTTTTGTATTCTCTTTTTTAATTTCTTAGAAATCACTATAGCGACTTGGCGAACCAGGGCAAACTCCCCTGGGATTTAGCAACACAACACTGCATTTAAGGTTAGCGTAACTGACAGTGGATGTCTGACGTGCTTTCCTTCCTTCTGGACAATGCACAGAAAACCAGCCTGTGAACAATTAAGGGAAGTATCATGTGTCAACTCCTGCTACAAGAGCTGAAGAACTCAAAATAGGCCTGTAAGATCTAATTTTGAGGGAGCAAGCACTGTTGACTAAGACAAAGCTGACCAACTAGCCTTAGCCCAAATATGGTAAATGGCAGACATTACTGCCCTGTGAATTAAATGTAAAAACAAGACAGTTACTCCTCATCCTTTTGTGTTCCCCTTACTCAGGGTGCCTCTATAGCAGATGTACAGCTCAGACACTCATTGCAATAGGAGGAATCTGATTAATGCCGCATCAAAGACTGACAGGATTCCTGTGGGTCACAGGCAACCTGCTTTACAAAGTTCCTTGGTCTATACATTGGATTACAGAAGTGCATGAATTCCTTTGTTTTAAGGGCTTCCATTTGCAACTGTGTACATACAAACAAGAAAACAGCATTTGAGAGAGGTGAGACAATGGTGACAGTAACAACTTCGAAAAGGATTTTCAAATACACACAGACTTGTAAGACTGCTGCACCCATCCTACTGTTCTCTCAATACTTTCACAACTTTCAACACAGCTGGTGAAAGATGAGATCAGGTTTTTCATTCTGGTTTTACCTTCAGATAGATAGTTTGTCTTTTTACAAAGTATCTAGGCTTTAAGTCATCCTGTGTTTAAAATAATGAAAACTAAATATCCTTCCTCCAGGGGTCGTTTCTAGTACTCTAATTTCAGGAACCAAATTAACCCTGGTGACAGGTTATATCTAGGCTTTTCAAATATCTGCATTGCACTTCTGTGATGAACCATCCAAAACAGACTTGGTTACCACCTCTCACTTCTGTCGTCATTAAGACAGCAGAAGGAACCTTCAATTTGCCAAATAAATAAAACACTTAACTGTAATGAGGACAAGCGCAACAGCTGTACTTCTTAATGCATTTGGAACACGGTACTTTTCCCTTTAACTAGCAAAAGTGCATGTTACCCTTTG